TCGGAAAAAGTAAACAACAATTATCATAACCTCAGATTATTTATTGATTGAATTTGCCAACAGAGTCGATGGTACTATCTCCTTTTCCTAAGATTCTAATCAATAACACCGGGCCCTGCCGTACTGAATCAAACCTTCCTAGATCAATTAACTACGATTGCAAACCTGAACCAAAAAACTTTTGGTAGAAAGCAGTACTCAAGGTAATAAAATCTGGGCACAGAAAAGATAGTCGTTTATTCATTTATTTCTTTATAGTTCTATATGGAATCATATCCACTAGAGCAAAACAAAGTAGCATACTTGAAGAGAAATTGAAAATGCTACAATGGTTATTCTCAACGCGTTTCGGTTTATAAACCATTTTCTCTCGAACAATATCTAAGAAAAATTGGTGGAAATTTGTTGTCAAGGTCATGATTTTCATTAATAAAAATCTTTGAAAAGCCCGTTAAAAAGCAAATAATAAGGACTGTACTTACATATACAGTGTGTATCAGCCAAATGGAATAAATTCGATAATAAATAAATGGGGCACTTTTCAAAAAAACGCTCGAACACGTCAATTTTGATTTTTTGCTTTGAGATTTTTTCACACCAATTTCTTTATACAGGGTGTTCCGAAAACAGCTGTACCGTTATCATTTCTAGTTTTTTTAATGGTACCCCCTGTATATTATGACATTTCTGGATTCTGCGGAAAATTCTAGACATATTTCATGTACAATGTCATATACCTATCTTCAACTTTTTCGGAAATATTGACAGTTGAAAATTGACTTTTTTGCATCTTGGACAGACTGTAAAACCTGAACGGTTAATTGTACAGCAAAACCGATCATACATTCTTATCTTAGTTTTTCATAAACTATCATTTGAACTTTGAATTTAATCCATGATTAGAAATTTCACTTAAATTATTAATCTCCGGTTAAATTCAAAGTTGCTGTCAAATGATAGCTTATGAAAATCTAGGATAGGAATGTGAAAACGGTTTCGCTGTAAAATCAACCGTTTTGCTTTTACAAAAAAGTCAATTTTCAACTGTCAATATTTCCGAAACAGTTGAAGATAGGTATATGACATTGTACATAAAATATGCCTGGAATTTTCCGCAGAATCCAGAAATGTCATAATATACAGGGGGTACTATTGAAAAAACTAAAAATGATAACGGTACAGCTGTTTTCGGAACATCCAGTATAAAAAAATTGGTGTGAAAAAATCTCAAGCAAAAAAACAAAATTGACGTCTTCGAGCGTTTTTTCGAAAAGTTTCCCATTTATTTATTATCGAATTTATGTCATTTGGCTGATACACACTGTATTATTAACTAAGAGTGATAGGTACATTGATTTTAAATTACTAACACAGGTGTCAATAATAATAAAATTCAAAAAGTTCTAGAAAAAAACAATACCTACCTAGATTCATATTATCGTTAGGATTAAATCAAAATACAGACTGGCAACCAACTATAGGTATATCAAGAATAATATATTATTCACGTGGTGACATGAAAAAGTAAAATTTTCTTTGAACCATTCGTATAAAATAAAATTAATACATTTGAGGAATGGAAAATAAAAATAAATGAACAAAACTGATGTCAGCTATTTAAAAAGCTTAGTGATGTGAGCAGCCTCTAAAAAGTGAGTCCTAAGTGGTTCGTTCAGACACTCAACTCAAAGGTCCTATCAATATAAACCTTGGCAATCTCCAAAATCTTTGAAGCACTCATTCAACGACTTTCCTTTAGTAATGTTGTTATGTAACGATCTAAAGTTTTTTGATCTGTCACTTGACAGTATTTGAATATCCGTTAATGCGTTTTTGGAATGAACTTCCAGTTACTCCAACGTATTGGGCGTTACATGTCTCACATGAGAGATAAGGAGCCCCACTACGTTCTAATATCCGGTCTGTGGTCTTCGACTTCTGATAATAGAGATTTAAAAATGTTCCGAAAGCGACACTGGTGTTATCGAAAGAATTTCTTAAAATGTTGACAATTTTACGATAAAAGATTGATTTTGATTTTATTTTCCTAACATGTCAGTATCAGTTATAAGATCCACCATTTTTAATAAACGCTACAGCCCTCGACACATCAGTAGGAGTCATTATATGTTGGATTTTTAACAATAATAATAATGAAATAATAAACAAATAAAAATAGATAAGTATAGAAAAAGTCAAACGTTGTGCGAAGGACGGCGACTGTTCGCTCCAGTCCTGCGAAAAAGAATAGCCCTATCTGTATCAAAAATTTTCTTTATGACTATATGACCTAGACGCCTTCCGTAATTAAATGCAGTAGAGTGAACATCCAGAAATAAATTCCGAGCAATGAAAAAAAAATCCAAAGACAAACATGGCAACAATAATATTTAATATGTAGAAATAGGCCAAATACACATGTATTAGCAATCGTTTCTAGAACTACTATACTAAAAAAAATTATGGTAATAGGAGAATTCTGAAATCCGCCTTTCAGGAAAAAGGTTACTTTTGTATGGGTTCCAATATAAAATCACATGAATATTACCGGCCATAGACAAGGTTACCTATGCAGCATGATTGCAGCTGTCCAACTTTGTTTCAAGCTTCAAACTTCATGCATCGTGCAAAACGTAGGTACGCACTAGTTACACAAAAAACTATCGTGATGGATGTTCAATTTAGTTTTATTCAATTGCAATCAATTGCTTGAAAAAATTCGCGCAAACTTAATAAAAGTTGATGAATATGGATAAAACATTTCGGAAAATATTCAGCTTGTAAACTTTCAAGAGCTGTTGAACGTTCCATTTGCTGAACATGCTAATGAGTGTTTTTCAAAACTAATACATAAAGGTTCGCTGAAATATTGCTGAATTAAGGATTTGTTCAGGTTCATCTTAAAATAATGATATAGCATATCCCTAGGAATATTTTTTGGAGGATGTTTGAAAATATTTTGCTCAAAAGAAAAATTATATTTTCATCAACTAGATGATTGTCATCATTAATATTTTCTCTACAAAATTTCCAGCAACTTATTTCCAAAACGTATTTAAGGCCAATAATTTCACCAAGAAAGAGAATCTTTTTTTTTCAAAAATTAACGTATTTGAAGATTTTATGACATATTTTAACATAGGGATAAAAAATGAGGAATTATTTGATTGAAAAGAACCGAGGTCTACCAGATAGCCTAACTAACCTCAACTTTGCGTTTCCATATTCCGTACCAGGGTTTTTACATAACTTGACCGGATATTTTTCAAAAAGCGTAGTTTTGAGAATAGTACAATAGATATTCTTGCATTTATAAAAATTTCATTTACAAGTAAATCGAAGTTGGCAAATTGGCACAACCTGGGTCCTTATTCTTGAAACAGGAGAGCAGCGTTCCCAGGAGAACGAGTGTTCCGTCTTTCTCAGTGATATGCAACTGATAATATAAGTAACAAAGACGGAACACTCGTTCTCCTGGGAACGCTGCTTCCCTGTTTCAAGAATAAGGATCCTGATAAAAAAAGTTAAAAAGTTTTAGCTCGAGTTTTAGTAGGTAAGCTTAGATTTTTCGACTTTTTTCGTTTTTTTTTTTTTTTCATTTTCAAAAATTTTAAAATTTTCAAATTTTCCAAAATTTCCAAACTTTCATTAAATTTTCCAGTATCTTCAGAAAGTGTTTTTCCTTACTTTCAGGTTGCACTGATGATGGCCACGGCCGAAAGCGCTTTGCACTGATATTTATTAAAGAATTTTGCACGAAATACAAAACTTTTTCATTCTTCATTACTCCTCAACGTGCACACAGCTCTACACCCTCTATTTTTTCGTTTTGTCGGTACTTTACCTATCATGGTATTTTTAATACTCCAACAGATTTTCCATTTGTTTATTGATTGATTGATATAGTTATTGAAAATATAAAAGTTGATAGACTAGACTGGTTAATCAAAACTGGATAATCACTCGACGTCCCTTTTTTTTTGGTGATTTTGTATTTCAGTTTACATGCGATAAAGTCATTTTCCGCTAGGGTATTAAAAATGCCATGGGGAGTCTAAAAAATGTTTGCTCCTAATAATAGTGAAGAAATCGGGAAATATTTTCGAGATCCAAAGCAGCTAAATGTAATCCCGAAATAAAGGATAACTGGACATAATATATTGTTTTCCATTGGTAGATACGGACGCGTCCGGGACATGTTTAGTCTAAAATCTGGGGTTGTTTACGTTTGCGAGAACCGCGACTATTCGTGAATTCCATTTTCCTATTGTGTTATTTAGATGAGCAGACATGTTTGCATGAGTTCTGGAGACATTCCTATCGTTAATCTGATTTATATTCCGTTGTTTGTAGGCTGGTTTCAGTTTAAATGAGAGTTGTTTACACTTGAGCAGAAGTGATAAGTTATATAGAATCCAACTTCCTAATAGAGTTAACTTTATGATAAACTTGAGGATAGCTTTAAGATTTTTCAGATTTTGAAGAACTCTTAATATACCATACAATTGTTAATATTTAATCATTAAAAAATCATTCCGTATTCACAGTCTTGATTGAACGTTTGGCATGTGTTCAGCTTATAGAATATGAATTTAACACAGTTAAATCTAATATTGAAAAAAAAATCATATTTATAATTAAAGAAAACTCAACCATATCCTATTGAAAGAATTGCAATTTGTTAACTGAAAACTTGGAGAGGTATTAAGAGTAAAATTGAAAAAATATACCTACCGCATTTCTATCAAAACGCTGAATCGAGCAGATCAAATAAAATCTAATCCACTTTGAAATGGATAAATTTTGTTTGATGTTCAAGTGGGCCTGAATTCTCAAAGCAAAAGGAGACTTGAGCTTCTTTCATTACTATTTCATTTCTGTAGAAATGCCTTGCGTAATAATTTTTTACCGCAATAAGCGATATGATTTTTTATTTAAAACCTTATTGCTAACTTCTAAAACGCATACATAATTAAAAAAAAATAACATAATGTACTTACGTGCATGTCTAGTTTATCGATTTCAGAAAGAACCCATCCAACAGATCCGTCTCCACTACAAACTAATATTCGAAATGGATCGAAATGTCTGAATAGTCTCAAGCCTAGGCGGGGCCCTGTTGAGATGAGATCGAAAACTTGTGCGGGGTTTAGGAGCTGTTTGAAGCGACGAAGAAATTTTACACCCTGATTGTCTCCTGAAAATAAATATTTGTTTATGTTTAAATCCATTGCGATTTTATTTATAAAAATAAAATAACTATTTATCTACTTGGATGAAAGTATATTATTCATCAATTCATCATAATAGTAATGCATGCGACAGGAATATAAAGTGTCTCTATTTTTTTAATACGAATCACAATTTCCACAAACCAATTTATCTATATTGTAACCCTATTTGATAATGAATTAACAAGAGACCCATAATATGCTCGGTTTGCTCAGCGAACAATCATTAGAGGTGGGTTGATAGTTTAATAAGTACAGAATGGCAAGGGCGCCAACGAATTTAAAAAAAAAAATTGAAAATAAAATTGCTTAAAATATGGAAGGGTGAAAATAATCAGCAAACGGTAATTGGTAATTCTGAAAAGGAAATAAATAAGGCACACAACTCAAATCTTGACATATAGGTAAACCAATAAAACAATTAAGTAAATTTCAAATTAATAGTTATTTATACAAGTGAGTTAAATAAATGTTTATTCATGAGAAGAAAGTTTAACCCACCAGCCTTAGCGAGTGGGTTAGTTTTCTTCGAACATTTTAACTCACGTGATGTATACAAAATTTTATCTCATTTTGTTGAATAATGTCATTTTTAAACGTCAAAATGGGATAAAATAATATATGTATATTTTCACAGTCAGTCAAAAATCCAGTATTAAATTATTTCAAAATATAAAATCAACTATTGTTGGTAAAACACCTTAAATCAAATCAAATAAAAGAGGTTAACTTTCAATCAGATTTGTCAAGCTCAAAAAAAATAAAATAATAGTATAATAACAATGCACCTCCAATATACTTGCCATATAAATTCACTAACAGTCGCTGGCCATATCATTATCAGGAAATGCAAATATAAAAGATTTAGGTTTCCAAAAAACTAATAAAAAAAAACTTGAATGATTGAAAAATTGTATTGATAAATATGGTCAGCCTCAGTAAAAAAATAAATTAAAAAAATCAATTTGTACCTGTGAAAAAAATCGAGAGTTGGGTTGTATAACAATTAAATGGTCTGGAGACATAAGGAAAATCCTATAATATATAAGTTATAGTACCTCGGGTTGAAAATTGATCAATTTTCGACGGTAGGCTTTTACTCAACAATTTCTTTAGAACATATTGTCCAACCTTGACTTTTGTTCAGATTACTTATTGATTATAATTGATAAAAAATGATAAAATATAATAATAAAATAAATAAAAGTTATGCGAAAATTCGATAAATCGAAATAGTTATTTAAACAAGTTTTGAAAAAGACTTTTTTCTACTGACGTTTCATAATAGCAACTTTTCGATTGTCATTTCAGTTTTGAAACGGCATTCTTTTAGGCACTGAGTGCGTGAAAGTTACTTTTAGGCACTCAGTGCGTAAAAGTGACTTTTGAATGCGTAAAAGTGACTTATGAGTGCGTAAAAGTAATTTTTAAGCACTAGTGCCTAAAAGTGTCAATCATTATTCAGAAATAAAAAACAACACTAAACACATATTTGAATTTTGTTTTGTATTTATTATGAATATTGAAAATGGAATTACTGAATTGAACGTTTGGGTTACTCAAAACAGAACTTTGTTTTATTACCTACTTTCTAGGATTTTAAATATTGATGCCGAATTTTGAAAAGAAAATCGCATGAAAAGTGTCAGGTGTCAAGTAAAAGCAGGTGACAAAGATTTTGGGTGTAATCGACTTATTCACATGAAATAAAATTGTGTTTTTTTTATTATAAAATGCCAGTAGAAAAAATCTTGTATACAATACGTTACGAAACGATGTCTTTTAGTCACTCGACGTGTTGTCCAACTCGGCTTTGCCTCGTTGGACAATTTTCACGTCGCGTGCCTAAAAGACGCTCATTTCGTAACTTATTGTATAAATAGCTATTTTCGCACGGCGAGACAGTTTGTTGGACCGAGCCGTAGGCGAGTTCCACAAGTCGAGCGAGTATGAAAAAAGGTTTTCAGACGAGTTTTTTACAATGCTTTTCCTACAACTGCAAAATAAAACAACCAAATATGTAATTTTTATTTGTTAGAAAACAAATCATCATCAGAAATTGGCGACAATCGCAATTTATGTCATGTCATGGCAGGATGATAGGACCAAAATAAATAGAAAACTAATGAGCAGCCTGTGAAAAACTTTCACGCACGCTGAGGAGCGTGTGAAAAAATTTTTTTTAATTGACTATAAAACTGATTTTATAAAAGAAAGGGTATTAAAAGTTATTAGTGAAACTTTATACAGGGTGTCCCACTAAGGTCGGCCAGGTACGATATTATGGAGAACATAGACCTTACGTAACTTGAAAACGAATGCAGATATTGAATTGCGGTTTGCGCCAAAATGTAGATATTTTTTTGCTCTTTAAGCACAGCAATACAAAAATAATATTATGTCATTTGGATTTTTCCTGAAAATTAGAAAAAACTGCAATTTCTAAAAAAAAATTTTCACCAGCTTCCCCCATCCTTATTACTGAAGATTCAAAAAAAAGCCTAATAACCAAACTGGCGCAAAAATTAATGAACTTTTGATTTCTGTTGTTAAAACAGTATCCTAATATAGCGATTTCTTGAGAAAAGTTGAATTTTTAGCTATATCATCGTAATTGCGCCCCCTAGCGGTCATCCTAGAAACTTGAAAATAATTTCCATCAATTTCTCTTGGCCGGTTTAGTGAAGAAAAAAAAAATCCCGAAGCCGTAAGATCTATGGTTTCCATAATATCGTACCTGGCCGACCTTAGTGGGACACCTGGTACAAGCCTCCATTCCAACATAAGGCAGAACCCGGTAGCCATCCATCCTCGGTCATTTGACGAAGGAATCTGCACATGGAACTTGCAGATTCTAGTATAGAATCCAGGTAGATAAGGGACTAGAATTGTCGTCAAATGTGGGGTACACGTATCGACTCGTGAGGGTATTGATTCTTGTAGGAATCCCTTCAAAAGCTCTATGCCACACTCCACGGAAATGGTGTTCTTTTTGAAAATGTGTTTTTTTAGGAATGGATTTGTTGAGAAAAACGGCTCTTCGAAAAAACCTAATAGTCCAAGAGCCGGCAATACTAACGGGTATGTGATCGTTGCAATGGATAATTTCTACATAAAACAATAGTTCATAGTAACCTTTAAACCAAATGGATGGGTGGCCTCGATTCTCATGGCCGTAAAGTTGTTTTATGAAAAGATACTTCAAGAACCATAGGCGCAACTAATAAGAAGTAGTACCTTGCGGTGTAGGGGGTTCTCATCATATGCGGCAAGCACTTTATTAACACAATTTCATGTTTCTTTGTTTGTTCAAAGACCTACAGCCGTATACAAAATCCTCTTCACAGAGTTCTCTTTTAACTTTAAAAGTGACTTTGAAGGCTGTCACTTTCAAAAATTTGTATTTAGCAAGCAAAATAACGCGTGCGCTCGACTTTCAATGAGGGTTGCCATCATTTCCGGCCATCAAAAAACGAGGCCACCCTATATATTATCTGAGAAGACATATTAAAGAATATATCTACCAATTTTCAGCTATTGCAACGATAACATTGTTCCTTCGGTAAAAGAGGGGTAGTTTACGCCCAGCCATCAAAGGGTTGCGGCCATGAGAATCGAGGCCACCTATCCATTTAGTTTAAAGGTAACTATGAGCTATTCTTTTATGTGAAAATTATCCATTGCAACGATCACATACCCGTTAATATTGCCGGCTCTCCTACTATAAGTAATAAGGCATTTCTTGAAAAGCTATTACTTAAAAAGAAAAATTAAAAAAACTTACCACGAGGGGAGTTGAAATTCAAACTTAAATAAAATGGTAATCACAAGACTTTTGATTCAATTTTTTTTTTGCCATCAACGGATTATTGCCTTGCACAACTTTATTTCGTTAAGATAAGATAATGCCTGAAGGCCGATAAGATACTTTGTTACGTTAAAATTTTGCCTTAACGTAATTGAAGATTTCGAATTAATTCAGTAATTAACTCAGTTATTTGTGAGGGTATTTATAAAGCTGTATACCTGAGGATTAATGTTTCTCAGTGATTGATAGGTTGCTCATTGAATTTTGCTAGATTTTTACCTTCTGTTTGGATGCAAAACAATATCTAGTTGTTGATTAAAGGTATATTTTCCAAGGTAATAATGAGTGAATTCTTGGTATTCAGAGGACGGGGTAGTTTTAGGATAATAAAGCCCTACTGTTGGGATAGGAATCCACTTTATTTATCTTTCGAAAGTTTTCTAAAAGGCCCTAAATGTCGGTGAAAAGGTTTGTTTACTTTCAAATAAATATCAATTGTCAACACTTACGAATCTCGTATTTTCCTTTATTAAAATTTCTGCAACAACACAAATCACTTTAGCACACTCTAAATCGATTTTCCACCCTTATTTCCTTTATTTTTCGCATTTTCAAATGTTTATTTTCGTCAAAAATATTGTGGGGTTATAAGACACTTGTGGATTCATTTCGGGCAGCACTGTTGCCGACGTACTTGACCGCTGCTGTGGGTAATAGGGTCACTGTAATTATAATCCCTAAACAGTCACTGGTCGTTTTGATAGATTTTAGACCGAAGACTAGGTAGATGCTGATTAATAACTTGTATAAGTGATTAATTAGTGTTAATTGATGTTAGGGGAGAGAATTTGATAACAACTTTGAGTTTTGTTGGTCATCATTGTGGTTTGGAGTGTTCCGTTCCAAGCTGATTGTGTTCCGGGCCAAACTGGGTGTTCCGTCTTCCTGGTCGAGATCGGAAATCTGGCACCAGAGGACATCTTGAAAAAAAAACTGGCATTCTAGAAAATTTTTCATATTGAAGTCTATCTAATAAATCGCTGAAAAGGGATCGTTCTCTTCTAAATTCGCACGTTGAGCAAACAACAAGTCCTTTGGCAAATTTATCAGCCGTCCTCTTGGCAACGTTCCTTGGAACATCCACCTTTTTGTGGGATTTTGAAGATGCTGGGATTTCAAGTGGTTACTGGCT